ACGACACGTTCTCGTGGAACAAAGCCCATCTCCTCTAACACAGCTTTTTCCCAGGAATTAGCCCATACAGAATAAAATAAATAAATCGCAAGTGTTTTGTGAAGGGAAAAAAAAAAATAATTCCTGCTGTACATAACTCGGGGGAGCAGATGTTTTTCCATTAGCTCACTGTTCTCTGCTACACTGGTTTTCTTTACATTTCTTGTCTGTGGCATGTTCATGATAAGATTTTTTTCCTGGGGTAAACTTTAGCATGTTACTGAGACAGCAGGTAGCCCACTCCAGCCCCACTGTGAGTACACGGAAGAGTTATCCTAGTAATTTTTCTTTAAATGTTCCTTTAAATTAGCCTTAGGTCTACCTGGTGAGGTTTGCAGGCTGTGCTTAGCAGGCATTTAGCCAATCTTAGATCAAATTACCAGACCTACTTTCCTGTGAGTGGCCATATTTGGTAAAGTATTGGGTTAGTCAAGAAGCTAAATTGTCAGATATAAAGTACTAGTAAAGACAAACAAAGTGGACATTGTAGTTAAAAGTAAAGCTTAAAATAATATAGTAACAGAAGTTGGAATTAGAACTCTTATTAAAACTGGCTTGCAGCATTCTAAAATGCTCTGTATAAATAGAGCATACAGTTATTACTGTCTGGAAATATAATCAAACATACCTCAGATAAGAAATCACTCCAGTTACCCAAAAAGCTTAAAACTATTAAAACTATTTCTTTTCAGTACTGATATGCTTTGCTCTCTGGGTCAAAAGTGATTTTATAAAAGTGTCAAATGAAGGTAAATTTTGGTCCTAAATTTGAACCACTTCAAGTACATTTTCCTTTGCCAAACAGCACGACTATTTTCTAATCAGAAGGGAGGAGTACTGGCATGATTTTTAAAAGGAAGTAAGGGGTAGAAATAGTTCATAGGTCAGACATTTCTTTTGGTAACACAAGTGGTATTATCACCATTTACCACCCATTATCTAGGATTACCCTTGTAGTTCTTTCTGCAACAAGAGGTGGGAGTTTGTAAGGTTTACCAGTGCTACAGAAGTTCCTTCTCTCCTCTCAAAGCTGAATTCAAGCTCTCTGTCAGGAAAGTGGAACAAAGAGGAGAAATGAGCATATGTATTGCATAAAGACCACCTCTCTTGGAGCTGCACCACCGCAGCATGTGCACTGCAGCACCCTTCCTGAGTCCTCTCTGAAATGAGTTGTTCCTCAGACTTTTTGGGCCAAGAATAATGTTTAGGCTTATTAATGTTAAAGACTAATGAGATGACTCCTTTTAAGAAGCCATTACATTTCAAGAGGACTGGGGAGTGTATTGCTAAAAGGGCGCAGACCAGCTGTGTTAACAGTCTTTGCTGCAGAACACTTGAAAACAGAGTATGCCTATTAGTATTCCAAGCATGCCTGCTGCTGGGAGTGGACAACCTTTCTAGTCTTTGGGGACAGCAGAACTCATACTCTTCCAAAGCTAATTGTAACCACCTGCAGGGAAAACAGGAAGATATGGAAGCCCACTGAAGAAATGTGCTAAACTCTCTGCTGCAGATGACTGTACTCCCAGCTGGTCCTCCAAGAGATAGCTGGATATAAGATTAACGGTGAAAATTCAGTTTTATTTAGATGTGTGAAAGAGGACTCTTTCTAGAGACCACAGATCCATTCAGTAGTTCTTTCCTTGCTTGCCAAGTTCACTAGGCATTGCTGCAGGGAAAGACAAGGTGCAGCATCCATTATAGTGCAGCACATTTGGACTTGGCAGCTGCACTTCCAAAGCCGCTGCTTGACTGTCTTCCCTATGTAACTGTGCTGGTCATAAACCCAGAAAAGTTGCAGATAAAACCACTAGGTCTATGCCCTCATATGTGCAAGGTAAGTATCTTCAATCACAGCAAAAAAGAGATCAACTATTTGCACAGGGTTCACAGCCTTGCCTTCAGCCACTCTTAAAGGAATGCACATATTCTCATGCACTAATTGTGAGACCTGTTAGGAGCCCAGCAAGGGCTCTGCAGCTCTGAGTGACTGAGGATGCTTCTGCACAAGTAACTCCTGTTGCAGCTGCAGGTGGAGGATGATACAGTAAAGATTCCCTTATGTGAGCACTATCTGATAGCTACCGCCTACAAATGGTCACTTTTACAAGTGTATGGGCTACAGGAAAAAGCAACAAGATGCTTGTCAAGCACTGCAACAGCCTGCCCAGGGAAGTGGCTGAGTCACCATCCCCAGAGGTATTTAAAAGATGTGTAGATGTGGCACCTAGGGACATGGTTTAGTGGTGGACTTGGCAGTGCTATGTTAGCAGTTGGACTCCAAGATCTTAAAGGTCTTTTCCAGCCTGAACGATTCCATGATTCTATGTATGTGCTGGCTTTGTGGCCTGGCCTGGCCTGGCCTGGATGCTGGGGGGCGGTAAGAACAGCCTCACACAGCTGTGGGATAGCTGGATTTGTATATCTCTTTCCAAATTAAGTGCAGAAAGCTCTAACCGGATCAGTCAGTTGGTACCATTAGTTTTTATGCCTTGGGATATGAAGAGGCACAGGAACTGTAATGGCTTTAATGGAACCCAGACATGATTGCAGCATGGTGCTCTAAATCCATACCCACACATGGAGACATGGCCAGCTGCATCCTGTTAGTGTTTGAAAAGGACAGATGTTTTGTTATAAATTTACTGTAGTATGAGGTTAGGAAATTGTAATAATTTTATCTAAAGATTTATGATTCATGTTAAAAAGGTTAAAGTGTTAATGACAACAAAAACAATACACGAGTCATTTCCCAAAGGCAGATTAACATTTTTTCCTTTTAGTGATAGGGCACCGAGGTATGAAAAAGTTAGGCAACTTGCCTAGAGTCACAAGATGACTCACTGACTGAAAAAGGACAAGTCCAAGCTAAACCTGATAGAAATCTACTGCATACTGGTGCAGCTCTTTCATGAACATGAAGGAACTCTGGATGCAGGTGTCAGAATCTTATGCTAATTGCCTGTTGGTTTCCACAGTTATTAATTTTGGGGTGAGCTGTAATGCAAAAGCACAAGACCACCTCAATGGTTCTTAACCACTCATTTCTGTTTATTTTGTTGTTTATGAGATATCTTTATTTTGGAAGTTATTAGCTTTTTAAAAATATACCTGCTCCTCCTTTCCCCTCCTTCTAGATGGGAAAGATTCTAGTACAGAGGGGTCAGTGATACCCTTTTGGAATACTCCACTCACTAAGCCCAGTGTAAGATCCAACCCACTTCAAAGAAGTCCTCTAACTATTCAGGTGCTGTGCCCTTCTCCGCAGAGAGTAAAGACTACTCCAAAATACCTGCATCTCTCCTCATCCATAAGGACCTCACCAAGAGCTTATTAAGCTGCATCCATAACAATAACTGACTTCAGTAACAAAATTACAAAGCAGTCACAGTATGTATTTTCTGAATATCAATCCTGATTCAAGTCCAGTTAAAAGTAAGCATGAAACAAAGTGAAGATTTAAAAAACGATAGAATAAGGCAGAAAAGTTACTACTTATAAAAATAAATTCTATCTAAAAGAATTAACACCTTTAAGAAAGGCACTCACTCGATTTACACTGAAAAGTAATCGTAGCAATTCACAGCTAGGTCACAGCAAGCACTAGGCCTTTATTGCTTTTGTCTTTTCACAGAGCAGCAAAAATGTAAACTGCCTAGAGCTATCTGCAGGACGATGGCCAACAGACACCTGACTTCTCATCACAACAAACTCCGTTTTTTCTGCTCCCCACCAGCCTCCTCTGCAGCGTTAAATCGGGAGCATATAAACTGAATAAAGCAAAACCTTGTTAGTGATTTTGAAGCCCACAGCACATCACTGAAATTTACATACACACAGGCCATTAAGTAAACACATGTGATTAACTTAAAGGATGATGCATTCCATCAGGTAACTTCTTTTGTTTAATAGTTAGGCAATTGTAACAAAAAGAATGTCACATATTTTGTGCCAAAATGGAAGTCTAACTGACAGGAAATGGTCCACAAAAACAGCTATAAAAATCTTTGCTGAGAAGTCGAGTGAGACTGTCAGGTTTTATGTGAGAATTGTCAATTGTACAGATTAGCTAAATGAGAATTTGAAGGTTCTCCTGAATATAGAATAGTAAATTATGAGCAAGGTTCCAGTGGGCTCTGCTTTTTTTTTTCATTGCAAATGGTAGCAGAGAGATCTAAGAAACAATCACAGCACTCAAATGGTAAGTTCACGCACACAACTGTAGGCCCAGTTGTGGAAGAAAGGCTGTGTCTCTTAAGAGCAAAACTGCACGGTCAGAACTCCATCAGCCCTGAAATGTTGGAACGCAATGGCAGAATGTGCTGGTCAACTTTGTTCCTCATCGAGTGTCCTACATAAAACCCATTTAAGAGTTTGGAGATTGCCTCCAAGTCGAGTTCCTTCTCACGGTTCTCTTTTCCCTTTATGTGTTCTGCTGTACCATCGATGCATGAGTGTCTTAAACTGACATGCAACCTACAAGTCCTTGGGATAGTCAAGGATAAAATGAGTGGAGGACTCGTTCTTTTAAATAATTTTTACTTAAACCTCAGCAAAGATTGGAAGGTTCCCAGTTTAAATAACATTTAACACATAGTTTGCCCAGTCTTATTGCAGGGAAGCACGTAGGCAAAGGAGAATGAAAATAACTGTTCCTACTAACTACCATTTGTTGATGAAGAACTACCTACAATCTTTTAAAAGCATATTTTAGCGATGATTGAAGTTTTCTGTGTGTTATGGAAAAATAGAGGCAAGCTGAAAAATTGGACTACTCCAGTATTTTCTTTGGTATATTGAAACAAGTAAGTGGTATCTCGAAAACCGGCTGGGAGAGATAGGCAGATTTTCTGCTGGAATAAGGTGATTTTCAACTACTGATTTCAACTACTCTGTTAATGCTTGTGTCATCTCATTCACCACTGGGGGGAAAAAGGAACTCCAGGTGGTCCAGGACTTACCAGCTCGTAGCCAGATTTGTTCAAGAGCTATCCACAGCTGCATGGGTCCTTGTTTCATTGCACTGCTCTGCATAGTTATTTCAGACATGGCCTGTTCCAGTCTTGATGCAGCAAGGGAAGAGGCTCGCTGTGATCCTATAGACCAACCAAACAATAACATTCATGCATTTTATATATATTTTGGATATTTCTTTGATTCATTAAGGCGGCAGGTCTGATTCTCCACTCACTGCATCAGTTTTATGTAGTAAGAATTCCCATGGATTCTGGGGTGACCAACTGGAGAACCACGTTTTATAGAAGGTTAATTTACTGAAAAAAACCCCTACTAAATTACCCAAGGGCTGCAGCTCAAACAAGCAAATGAAGAGACAGACAGTAATTTTATAAATGCCTGCTTAGCATTCATCAACAACTGTAATTCACTCATTTGGAAACCAGAACTCTACCATCAAATATTGCCCACCAATACTTATTAGTAACCCATTTTATAAGCACACAGTCACCATACAATTACAAAATATGGCCCAGTAATGTAAAATCTTAGTACAGCACTACAGAGTAGCTTGGCACCATTCATACAGCACACATGTTTCAAGTGACATCAATATTGTTCTGCTGGTTTAGAGGCAGTGTGGTTTTTAACCTCAGGAGCAGAAAGCTCAGTGCTTTGACTTTATTAACCTTTAGTATGCACTGTAACATTTATGCAAGAATAAAGTATTTGACGCCTACATCTCTTGGACAAAACATCACATCAAAAGCTATTCCCAGGAAGAACTCATGTGCAGAGACCACATTCTCCAGTACAGCAAGTGGGATTATACTGGTGAGTTGGCCTCTCAGAGGGGTAACCAAAAGGGTGGCAACAAAATAAGAAGCAACTAAGTAAGATTTCAGAGTTGGCTTTGTAAAGTTTTGGGAAATAAATCTTCTAATATATATAGGTTTAATGTAACTTTAAGGTTGATAAACTCTTTCTCTGGAGAGCTGCTGTGACTGAAGCACTTGCACTGATTAACATTACTCTTCAATCGATCCTTACAGGCTGGCCTTGTAGACCCCAAGGTTCTGGAGTTCAAATCCCACTTTCTCTCACCGCAGACACCCTGAGGGAGCAGTAGAGCCTAGGAACAGGTACTCTGAGAAGCTGGGATGGCTCTGGGCAAGGCAAGGGACACAAGGGCAAACACCTGTCACCGGGGCATATGCATTAAGCGGTCTCTCCGAGAGGGCCAGCATACTTTTCCAGCTGGAGCATGCTGAAGAGAGGGTTGCCAAACCACACCCCCTCACCAGCAGACCACCACCCGGGGCCAGGGCGCCAGCAGGCAGAGCAACATGGTCCCCTGGCTCTGGTTCACTGGCTGGCACTCCTCTGAACGCCAAGCTGGGACGCAGCCTTCTGCCAGGCGTGAAGGGAGGCACATTTCAGCCCCACACTCCTTTGGGAAGACACCTGTGCAGTGTGGGGCACGACGTGGCCCGCTGCTTCTACCTAAGGCGAGGCAGCGCTGCCTGTCCCTCTGAGTGTCATGGCTAGGGAGAGGCTGCAAGTGCGACTCGAAGCCTGAAACTGCTGTGGGAAATATCTGTCCCATTATCTCACCGCTAACTAACGTAATTCATTTTAAGCAGAACTTCAAAACAGCCCTGAAGCGCAGGCGCCTCCCACGGCTCCCTTGGAAAAATGCAAATGTGCTCTTCCTAGATACATTTCTTAAATTCCTACATATTTTCAAAGACATTCCTGATCTAATGTTCCAAGAGATGACAGTGCAGTAATGTAGCAATTATGGCTTTAATGGTACGGTAAAAGCCATTCTGCTTTGCACGGAGAATGTGTTATATTTAACAGTTTATTTAACAGATCCATCTTCAGCCTGTTTCACTACACGGGATTTCTCCTCCCCCAGCCCTGCCCACCCACACTCCTCTCCCCATTCCTACCTACACCTGAAAGAAATTTCCCTGAAAGTCCCAGGAATTCAAGACAGATGAGGGTTGTTTAACATGGGGAAAACTACCAAGCAGTCACCCCCCAGTCATCCAAAACACAGACAGCTTCTTTGCAGGGCAGAGGCAACAAGAAAATGGACACATGAACAGCTAGTGACGTTATTAGGAGCACTCTGAAGTTAGGGTGGACCTCTTGTCTCCTAGATTGGCAAACTTGGCAAAAAATTACATGGGCTTTGAGGATTTTGCAGTCAGCCTAACCAGATTTTTGTATTAGCACTCCTGATCATGTTAGCTTGCTTTGAAAGCAACTTTCAGTATGACATTTCTCTGCCAAAACTGCCCTCTTTCAGGGTGGCTTTCTGGAGCTGTTTCTTGCAAGCACCCGTATAATGCTGCTCTAATTGCATTAGGTGGGCAGATGGGCTAGTGTTTTATTCACATCCTCACAGAGCTCGGGGAAATCCTCTTTGCCTTGCAAGTCAATCCAAGGAGACTTTGTCACCGTAAGGCACATTTGTGCATTTTGGAGAGGTTCACACACTGCTGTGAGGCTAAACAGCCACTTAGGATCTACTAAAGCATCCTTCCCCCACAAAGCAGGCTTTACAGGAATATCACTATAAGCTAGTTGCACTCAAAGGAACACGAGTTAGCTGCTCCTCCTTCTCTTCATTAGCTGGGTAGTTGCCAAGAGGGGAAAGCCTGCGATCTGAGACTGATCTTGCCCAATGCTGTGGGCTTCAATCTGCACAGCCATAAAAAGGGAACCTAAGATACTTAGCAATTTACAGTGGAGGTTCTTTGCATTTAACAACCTTTGGCATTCCAGTCCTTTCATGTTTATTTTTCTTTTCCATTTCAGCCTACACAAGAAAGCAAACCACACTAGGCAGAGACCATCTGATCCCTTCCCATCCTTGCTTGGCCTCAGACACAGATATACACTCCTCCTTCTAGACATACACAAGCCAGATGAAAATGCTCTCTCCATCCCAGACCATTCCAGCACTTTTGCTACTGCTCTTCTTACCCATCTCTGCTGGACAGCTTGGGAATGCTCCTTAAAGCTTGTCTGCCCAAATAAACTCTGTAAGAGACTGTCTTTGCCAGTCTGGCCCTTCTAGACTGAAAGGGGCTCAGTCAAGCTCTGAACCTCAGGCAAGCACTATGGTGGCCCTGGGGGTGGGCTGAAGGCTATATAGAGTATAACTAATACACACTGTCTCCCGAGAGAGGAGGTAGGCATGTATTGCACCAGTACCACTCTGACCTCAGAGTGGCAAGGGAGCCAGAAAAACTTCAAGCAACATTACAAAAATGTCTCTGAATGTCTCATTATAAAATATCTCTTCCTAAAGAAATGTAGATCTTTATATGCTAAAAAACCCCACAAAACCTGTCTCACAAAACTTTAATGTCATGCCTCAAAATACATGCAAATGTTGGCATAAGAAGATATCACATCCATTTGTTATTTTAGTGCAGTCTTTCTCTTTTTAACAGCTCCACTAGACAGAATATAAACTTCATATTTTACAATAAAGCCCTCCACACATTTTGGAAAGAAATCATAACAATAACAAAATTGATTTTGTCATGATGAGCTCTGCATATAAGCCATACAAAATATATCTAAATAATTTCAAAGCACCGTTCTAGGGTTGTTATAAGACCAAGAAGGACCAAGTTTAATATTTTGCATCTATGAAAAAACTCCTATCAAAACAGAAATGTTCCTCAGTAGATTTACTAGGCTTATAAAGAAACACAGAATTCCCTAGCCTAAATCACTTCAGGCAAGAGCATTATAAGATAAGACTAAATCAGAAAAAGAATGAAACAGCAAGGCAGCTGACTGATATTGGCGAATTTAGTTAGGAACACTGCTTTAGTTAGGAGAAGATGAAGAAAATAAAGAGGAATTAATCTTCCTGGCAGCAAACCTAAAATTCTGGCACAGCAAATAATCTCATTGTGGTCTAACTGAGGGAGAAGCCAGTGTCAAACCCGGCCACAGTAACCCCCCCTTCAGTGACGAGCCCAGAGATCACAGAGCGCCTGTGCATTACAGTGATACTGCTGCACACTCCTGGGGGATTTCACGACAGAAACCAGAGCCTGTTCCAGAAGGATGGAAAAAGTCAGACCTCCTCCCTCCTTCAAGCAGCCAGCCACAGCCACAGCTCTGGGGAGGCACAAGAGGGAGAGGGGCTAGAGCTGTATTCTCCAATCTCACCTCCTACTGTCTTCAAAGAGGCTCCCAACCGTGACAACAGACCCAGCTGCCTCCTTTCTGCAGACGGAGAACAGCAGCACCTAGAGCCCGCAAAGCAGCGAGCCACAGACCCTCGCTGAAATCAGCCTGTTCCAGTCTTGCGCTAAGGCGGATGGTATAATTTCAGCACACGTCTCATCCTTACGACCACTGTGGGTGCAACCATGTTAGCATGCAAACCTACATTCTCGAAGTGGAGGAGGAATAAATTTCTTGGCTAAAATCAAACTGCATTCAGTGAAAATCACTTTATGTGCGTGAAAAGCTGGTTTAAAGCTTGCACTTTAATTTGCTCTTTCTGGCAGGCAATACCATGGCATGCAGCACTCTCTGCTGAACTGCAGCTGCTCCATTGCATGCTGGCTGCTAGAACTGGGCTAAGAGCAGGCTGGAACAGGTACCCAACCCAGGTGCTTTTTGAGGAGGGCACTACAGAGAGATCACACATGCCTGAGCTTAGCTGTGGCTCTGGAGAAGGTCACAAAATATTACAGGGTCTGCTGGTGGCAGTTTGATCTCAAAATTTCAAACTATGCTGTGAAGTGGGTGTAGCCCAATTCTGGCCACACTCCTTTCTCCAGACGATTACAAAGCAAGGCAAGTGATCTCCAGAAGAGCACGGAATCCACACGCAGAATAGCTTTTACATACCATTAAGCACCAGCTAGAGCTGAAGGGGCAGGGACCAGTTCAGGCTCAGTCCCACAGTCTAGGCACCATAATCCACTTGCTGTTTCAGCAGCAGAGTGGGAATTGGATGGATAACAGAAGTACTGTGGTGAATAATATTTCTGGGGTTTATTGCTTTCCTAGTAATGCTTAGTGGCTGATGGATTCTGCAAATTACCCACAGTGTTTTCCAAACCATTTTCATATATTCACTGAAACGGAAAGTCCATTTTACTGCCCAGCATCAGGGATGATAGGATATATTTTGCAAATCTTCACAGTTATTTTCAAGTGATGAATATCCTAAATGATTTTGTATTACCAGGAAACTTTCATGTCATCATGTCATATCCACTCCCTTTTGCAGATAATTTTTAACACGCCAAACAGCACACACTCACTTAGTATATCCTCTTCATCTATTTGTGCTGAATTTGGCCTGTACTCTTCAATTAAGCCAAAGACTATAAAACACTGCCATATTAACAATGAGAAAAAGGACCTATACAAAACACAGACACTCATCTCAGCAAAGGCTAGTAAAAGGGAAATGTAATAAACAGATTTAAAATTACATAAATATGCATGTATAGAATCAGTAAGATTACAATGTCATAAACATTGACCCTAAGTGTTTAACACTACAACAAAAGAACAGACAAGTTGAATAATGGTTTGATGTTCGAATGTTTGTATGCTCAAGACCTAACCTTGCAATGCTTTTTAACCATTGGTGGATGTAAATATGGGTTAAACACATAATTTAGATACAAGTCATATACTTAACACTTAAGAACTTGTCCTCCGTCTCAGCCATATATGCTGAGCATGACTTCAGTTTTATCAATTCCAAATGCTCAAGACTCAAACCGCAATTCCCTAGCCCCAAAGCACGAGACTTATTTGTTAGTTTTTAAAATTAATCTTTTATAGTCTTCTTGTCCAATTTCTGAGTCTGTGAGGTTCATTTTTTACAAGTGTTTCCTCTACATCCACAATAGTAGGAAGTTGCTCCCCGAAAAAAACATCCAAGTTTCTCACATAATCATCTGATTTTGAGAGTTAGGATTTTAAAAGAAGCACCAAATATCACGAGACATGATAAAATCACAAGTCAGCAGCACTCTCTGAAAGCTCCCTTTCCCCTTCCTGCCAAGATTAGCTTTGACATCTGTTATTTACATCTGCCTGTATCTGTTACTGTGAATGTCTATTTGCCATATAATAAAGGATCACAAGGTTTATGTACAAATCCCAAAGCAAATCACCCTCTAATAGGAATTGACACTCATTCAGCTTCCCAAAACCACCATAATAGCTATCTTGATCAGGGCATCTAAAAAGGATTAATTTTTTTCAGGGGAAAAAGGAGGAGGGGAAAAAAAAGGGACAGAATTATACAGTTCTTGCAGAAGTATAGTGAACTCCCTTCTAATACCTTTCATGCTCATCTCAGAGAGCTTTGTAAAAGAAAGCAGGAACTCATCTCTTTGTTTCATTGCATGGGGAAACCAAGGTACAGTGACATGTTCTGCAGCAGAGATGCCCCTGGAGACAGAACGGGACCTCCTGACCACCAGCCCAGCAAGACACATGCGTGTAGCACCACCAACCCCCCTCGCCAAAGAAAGTAAAACACTCCCCTCTCACAAATGCATGCATTTAGGATGGGAAAGCACCAATCTTGTTTCCTCACCAGAATCGGTATCATGAGCATCCGGGAGCGTGAGATGCAGTCCATTATGCTTTTTGATCACTGGTGTTTCAGTCACACTACTTCCTTTCTCTGAGCCACTGCAAAGAAACAAAACTGTGTTACCCAGTCCCCTTTCAGCAGAGAGACATTTGCCTCAAAGCAGGCAACAGCCTCATCTCGCTGCCACTGGAACTGGAAACTCAAGTGTTCCACTTGCCCGCAATCAGCTTCTTGATGTGTTGTTTGAACACCCCCACCCTGTCAATGGACAGGAAGCTCAGAGACACGGTGCCCAGCAAGGGCTTCAGGGCACATGGTGGTATCAGTTCATTTGGCTGTTGGGAGTCTTTGAAAACCACTGGACGAGGAACATGTTGGCAGCTAGAAGCCAGACTAGAGGAGGCCAACCACCAGCCCCACACCCAGGAAGAACGACCCTCCCTTGAGCTTGTCTGCAGAAGGATTTGTTGTCAGGTCTGCTGTGCTGATCCTTTTGAAACAGACCAATTACCACCTTCCACCCAGGTGCTAATTTCTGCATTTCAAAGGGATTATTTTCTCCAATTCCACCTTTGTTCTGTTCAGAGGAGAAAGATAAAAGCTACCACATAGCACCACTTTATGAAAGAAGGACTATTTAGTCTGCTCTTCTACCAGGCTTCTATTCTCACAGGAGAAGTCTTCCAAAGGGAAACTCAAAAAAAAAAAAAAAAAAAAAAAAAAAAAAAAAAAAAAAAACAAAGATCTCTTGAGGCTTCCTGTCACCATATAGTCTGCCATCCCCCCAAGATCAGATGGTGATGATATCTCCTCTCATCATCCATTAAGGGACAAAATATCTAAAGGAAAAGTGACTGCCCTGGCTACTTTTTCTGGCCCACTTCCAAGCCTGCAGCTCAGCCTTTGGACAATATTCCTCCCAGGAAACAAGCTGTCACAGAGTCATGATTGCTGTGGATGCCCTGTCTTCCAGTCTGATCCTCTGGTAGGGATTGCACAGGATTCCTTTGAATGTGCATTAATCCAGCAGAAGAATTAGCTTGGGACTACTATTTTGTTGTAAACATGATTACTTTGTTATCACAGAAAACAATAGCAAAAGAAAAACCAAGTCTTGTCCTCAGCTAACAATCTAGGACTGAAAGCCATTTACTGTTGTTCATCATAGCGGTAATCATATTTACAACAGCTAATGAACCTTTTACTTGGGCTTTGGGATCTAACATTATGGTTTCTGTTAACAGACTCTGAATTCTTGGCCATTTTCCTATTTGCACAAATCTCCAGCCTTGACTGGGCCTCCCTGTCTTCTCTACAGGTTTCCACACCGATACCCCATTTGAGACTATCATGTGGTGACAGATACAAGGGAAAATTAAATTCTCTGTCCTGTGCTGATATCAGCCTTGCCTAGCCAGGATTAACCCAAGTGTGAGTGCCCTTAGGGGCACTTCTGTCTTTACTGGTGCATTGTGTACACAAGAACATGGCAGCTGCACTTCCAAATATTACTCCCATGAGGCGAGTGCTGCTTTGCTGCAGCAGCCATCGCCACAAAGTCACTGTTCAGGCATCTGTTCATGGCTGAACACTGGCTTATACTTTATACTCCTACACAACAGACAGGTGATGAGACTGGTAGATGGCCTAAGACTGGCCACAGTTAAAAACTGACCACAGGAGAGCAGCATTCAGAGAATGCTTGATGAGATGGTCTCAGTTAACAAAATGCACCTCAGTACAGTCAACAGCACAGCCTTTTAACTGGGAGAACAGACTGAAATCCCAGCCTGAAAACCAAGTTTTGCATTGTGCAAAACAACCACTCCAAACAGTTTTATTCTTAGTCATTATCCTGGAGAAGGGCTGAAAATGAACTACTCCTTCCAAGCTGCAGTACAAGGCCTTCAGCCAAGAAAGCTTATCCATGAACCACAGAAAGGCCAGTAGCCAGATGATCTGCCTCCTGCATACAGCACTGGAAAGGCTGACAGTGGGACATGCTGCCACTCCTCTTCCCATGCTTTTAAAAGGTAGTTGAGACGGTGGATAAAATGGTGACAAAAATTGATAAAGGAAACACTTGAATGTGAGAGACTGCAGACACACCAGTTTATCAGAGAGAAGACAAGGGGGACTTGAGCATAGCATACGAACAGCTGCCTGGGGAGAAAATACTGGGCCCTGAAAGACTCCTTTAATCTAGCAGAGTCATAGTGAATTTGGAAAGCTGGGAAATTTAGGCCAAACAAATGCAACCAAATGTAACTATAGCACAATGTAATTGTGTAGATGATCAGTTGCTGATCGAACTAGTAAAGAGTACTGGGTTCAAAAGCTCTCAACCTCATATAAATACAGGCTTCTCTTCCAAGAGGCCCTAAAAAATGTTCATGTCCAAGTTTCACTGATAAGAATTCCCCTTAAATTCCTTTGCAAGCCCAACCCAGAATATTTTACATATTTGTTAGCTGATACTGCTGCAATTTGCTTAATATAAGGGGTTTCCTGGGTCACTGAATCCAGTCTAAAACTGCAGGTACCAAGTTCATTCTTGTTACCTTTCAAGCAGTGCTTCCCAATAGAAAAGGCTTTATGAAGTATTTTTTGAGAAAGCCAAAAAGTCCTCTGGGAATAGCAGTGAAATACACATTAGAGTTCCTAAAAGCAAAAGCAAAGCAAAGCAATTTGTTTTGTTTAGGCTTCTATGGCTAAAGCTTATCAAAAGCCTCTAAAACTATCACATCTTGGGTATTTAAGTGTAAAAGCCAAAGCACAGCTTGGGATCTGAATGCACACCAAATGGCTGAACTATTTATTTGTCTGTTTTCCAATGTACTTTCTTCAGACTCAGGCCTGTAGCCCCCCCCACTGCAAAAGTAAATCTTAATCATAATTGTTCAGTGTAGATTCGATCAGCTTCATGAGGACTACTCATGGGTATAAAGATTCATGTGAAAGGTACATGATTGAATCCTTAGCTAAAGAGACTAAGTCCTAAGGAAATCTATTATTCCAGCCTATAAGAGACCATTATCTCTGCTGTTATGTAAATATCTTGATTTTTGTGTTTGGTCTGCTGCTCATTAGCTAAACCAACAGGGAATTACTAATAATTCCTCAAGGACAACTTGAATATAGAAATGCATCATTCTGTACATATACTTCTAGTGTTTATAAAGCTTATGTAAATGCATACAGAAATTGGGGAGCAATGCAAGCTTCATCAGTCTGCTGTTGTGACTGCTGCCATCAAGCATGCTGTCGTCCTCATCAAACACAAACTCTATCGACATTATAGGTGAGAGTAAGTACAGTCTTAGGACAGCATTCCCAAGACAGTTGTACAGTGGTATCATGACTAGGACAATATCCAAAGGGTGTGGGAAGGAAGAAAACCCCACCTGGTGACTTTCACACTTTCTAAACTTTTCCTTTCAGAGGGGAAGCAGATGAGAGAGGGAACAAACAGGGAAGCCAGCACTGTTTAAATGCAGATTTACTGGGACATGGGAAGGGAGAAGGATGTTACATTCTTCACTCCCTTCCTTGCCTAGTTAGCACCACATGCAACTGGCATGCGACCACAGCATATGATAGTCTTGGCTGTGTGGCTTTCCTTGCTTTACTCAGAGCAGGACTGTGTCACCCCCACACATCCCTGGGTGGTGCCAACTACTGCAGACTGTGAACAATAGCTGATGGATGCTCAGCGCTACTGGGGAAAAAAAAAGAAATCTGCCCTCCATTCTGGACATCTGAATATGGATAGTGATGTTTAAACATTCAGATCAGAAACTCTTGGTTCCAACTGCTTCTTCAGTCTTAAAATCTTGAGGTTTTATTGTTTGGGTTTTTTTTTTTCAAATCATGGCTACTAAAATCTTGCTTTTTTTAAAAAAAAATCACAGCTAGAAATATTACTTACGTTTCTTTTTAAACAGTACTGTTTACTATCCTTTTTGCAAAATACGTATCTAGACAATTAAAGAAGATAACTGCATCTCCATTATGAAATCTGAACTTGTTAGACAGTAGAGAAAGCCTACCTGTGCTGTAAAACATTATATACCATCTGCCACACCTGCAACATATGTCTGCATGTCACCAGAGCCTCTTCCGGTCCTTTATGTACCCATTCCAGTTTTACTTTGGTGAAGAGTAAGCTGCAAGATAAAAGAGAGTAACTTCTGTTTTATTGGCATCTCATAAATGTGGAGAGTCAGTATCACTCTAGAAGATCCTGGCAGCCAGCATTTTTACTTGCTTTGTATGTGCAGCAATAGAAGAAAACACCGTGGCAAAAAACATTTCATTTGGCTCAACTTTGATTCCCCACAAGGAGATGAGAGAATTAACAATATTCCTCAGCTGTAGTCAAACTTGCGTCACAAAGCTGGCAGGACAGTGTTAAAAGCAATGCATTGCAAAGATAACAAGGTGAAACATACAGTGAACCTCATTTTAGTTTGGACAGCATTAAAAACAGAATAAAAAGGAATTGCCAGACTGTTTTCTTAGTCTGGCATCTTCCTATAGCACTGGTTTATATAATAAATTTCAGACAATAACGCCAACACACTTCATATACACAGACAATTATGTAATGCCTCACAGGAAGGAAATGCTTTTTCTTAACCTCAGCTGGCAATCATCTCATGCCCCTAGGCAAGACAGCTGATAGCCCTTGTACATTCTTGTTCTAGGTAGTGTAATTGCTGCTACTGTCCTTATACCTAGAAAACTAGTACTTGCACAGACCACTGGAATTCAGCAGAATTAGGTCAAGCAGAGGTTAGAAGACAAATTCAGCAATGACACAACCTACCAGTTGCTGCTAGCATGGCTGTTAACACCATTCTTC